AAGCTTTCACACATAATCTCCCCTCTTCATCATTAAGGCAACATCTTCCTTACATAACTGGCGAGCCCGTCGTCACCGCCTACGAACTCTCCCCGACGCGCGACCTCTTTCTCCTTCTCGCTTCCGATGGGCTTTGGGAATTCCTTTCGAGTAAGGACGCGGTCCAGACCGTACAAGCCTGGTGGCACCGAGAAACATTACAAGGCCAGCTCCACCGTCCTCCTAGCTCCTCAACTGCCTACACTTCTCAACACCCTTGCACACCGGCAGCTGCCTTAGCGGAAGAAATGATGGTGCGGGTGGCTAGGTCACACTATATGGATTTGAATACACTGAAGCGTTTGCCTCGAGGTGGACAACGTAGGCAGATACATGATGACTTGTGTGTCACGGTCGTGCAGTTCCAGTGGGAAAAGAATGAGGTCTAATCTTTTACAGCATGTACTTTACGGGGCAGGCACTAAAGAACAACTTAATACAGTTGAAACTTGGTACAGCTTGATGTCGCGAGATATTTTGATAGGCGGCTTTACAACAAAGTCTTAGCGAGATCAGGTTTTTGTGTCTTGTACAGCTTTCCGCATCATCTACAATTTTCTCGGCTGGTACTTCCATCTATTCCTCCAACTTTTGAGCCAAACGCTCCATATTTGTTAGTATCGGGTCTTTCTCTATGTTGGGAATCTTTTTCCAAATGTCCCCACCTTTGATATCTTTTTCTCGCCGTTTCTCTCTTTCGTTTCTGTCTCCTCCTTCCCCTTTTCCTTCTTCGTTGCCTTTGTCTTCGTCGTTATGACCATCTTCCTCGTCATTGCCGACCTCGTCGTGATTATAATCTTTTTCAAGATCTTCCAACAATGCTTCACCTTTCTTGTTATCTGGCATATCACCTCTTCTTTTTTTTAAATCCTCGTCTTTACGCTCTACAATTTCCTTAATATCTTTTTCGAATGAAGTAAATTCCTCAATCAATGCTTGATTTGCCATCTTAAGCATGCTAATTTGAGTTTCGAAATTTCCAATCTTTACTTCTTGTGACAATATTTTGATTTTCTGATGAGCTACTTCAGTCTGCCATTTCATTGCTGTAGCATGTCCGCGAGAAATGTCAACCTTCCGCGAACTTTTTTCCATCCTCACCTGATCCCGAAGACGTATAATTTCCCCAGTTAGCATCATTGCAATAATGTAAAGCCGATCTTTGTTGTATTCATTATCCATCACTAGCTTGTAAATCTCCTTAGGGTGCATGCTTTCAATATCCTTGAAGAGCGGGAGGCCACTAGGGCCGATTGAAGTGTTACGAGCCAATTTTGGAAAGGGTCTGGTGCGTTGAGCAGTTGACAATGGCATTTGTGATAAAAAAGCCATGTGTAGGATTTTTGAAGGTAGACATACTGAAAAGGTCACTAATGACATAAGGAATTGAAAGTGTCGGTGGCGCATCTGTCATGGTTTTTAGCGTCATGAGAGTTGATCATGAGAGTCATTAAGTGGCTATTAGTTCCATGTCATGATGGTCTATGCACGATTATATTAAAATAAACGATTTCTAAGCTCCGGAATACCTTATTTCGATGTATTGCAATCTGTGGCACACGACCTTTCAGAGTCTTCCCCGGGATGTCGAACCTCCTCACGAAAGGGCCTCCAGTTTCGCGGAATTCAAATTCAAATTTTGATAGCCGTCAGCAACGGTCGTCGGTTGCACGGGGTTGGACACAATACATGGTGGTCGGGGGCTTTCGGGCACTCCCACCATGAAATTCAAAAGATCATATCGTTTGTGAGTAGACCGCCACAGACAGAATTTTCGATGTAGTACCGTGGCACTGGTTACAGCACGTAGGTTCTTGAGGCATTTACATTTCCACAGGGTTTCTGTCTTCGACTGTGGTTATGGCCCATGTCTCTTTGAATGCTCGTGTACAACAATTGTTCTATGTGTCACGATACTTTTTCTGCGTTCGCTTTAAAACATGCATTGAAACAATCTTTGCCATTTTCATTTGCTTTTAATTTTGCATAAGAGACCAATAGTGTACATGCTCTTTAAGCAAACACAATACAAAGATGAAGCCGGACTAATTACTTAATACTCATTTCTTCTTACCTGTCAGGAACACAATTCCATACAAGTCCGACTTCACACGATTTTACGTAAATTAATCGATGGCAAGTATCTCTAACCTTATGCGGTTGGCTACCCAAGGCGTTTTAGCCTTACTCCCAACGTCATCTCCCGAAGGAAGCATCACTGACGCATCACTCGCGAGCGCTACAAATAGCGTCACGCCGTTGCTTCGGGGTCTTGCATACCCATCCTTTACTAAAGCTATGCATGGTCCAATTGATCTGGGAAAAGAAGAGCTGACATGGACAGGAACCAATAAGGAGTTGCGTGTGAATGGCAAAACATTTCATCTAAAAGGTTTAAGCTGGTTTGGCCTCGAGGTAAGCGTGCGTTGACCGAGATGCAACACTTAATGAGAAGTTCACTCTTTTTTTGTTCATTCATTTATTTTATCTATCCTACGCATCATACCTTGTCGCCGCTCACCCTGATGGCTAAACCCACCTTATCTCTTTTCTGCCCAGGTCGGGGACTCAAACATGCTACTTGGCCTTAACAACAGAGGCTTAGACGAGATCCTTCAATTCCTGGTTGATAATAATTTTAATGCTATCCGTGTGCCTTTCTCAACAAAATGGGCTTTGGATTACGATACTGGTGTCAGGGGTTATTTCCGTGACGGAGACATCAATCAGCTTTCTCGTCGACAGTTTTTGAACAAATTTATCGAGCGAGCCGCAGACTTTAAAATTTTAGTCATGCTTGATAGTCATCGTTTAAATGATCAAGAAATTCCGGAACTGTGGTACTCTCAGGAATATACACAAGAGGATATGCTGGCGGCCTGGGATATCCTTCTGGGGGATCTGAAGCACCATTGGAACCTGTTTGCCATCGGTAAGCGATAGATACCATTGTTCGAAAAGGACCAATAGACTTGATGAGCATGCCCAATTGCTGTAGGACTCTACATTGACTTGCCTATTTGTATTCTAAATATGTCACGATGGGGGTAGAGATCGTGCTCTAGTCGAAAGGTCATTCGTATAACTTGGCCTCGGCTACTAAGAGTAGCACTCGAAGGTCACTTCAACACGTGTTTTTTTAAGTCATTGAAATACCCTGTCGAGAATCCCTACCTGTTTGGAATTTTAAAATAATTTTCGCTTCTTATCCTCTCTTCCCGCACATCTAGACCTCAAGAATGAACCGCATGGCGCTGCAACATGGGGTTCAGGGAACGCTGCCACCGATTGGAACACGGCAGCCGAGAAAATTGGCAAACATTTGTTGACGAAGCACCCGGAGTTCAAAGGACTGGTCTTTGTCGAGGGCTTGGGGTATTCTATCGAGTTCGAGAAGATTAAGACCCACCCCATCGATTTCGGAAAGCCCGAGTTCAACGAGCGCCTCGTCTATTCCCCCCACCAATATGGGCCGTCGGTAACGGGAGACCTGCATTTTGCCGGGTATGTGAACTTTCCTGCTTCGCAATTGAGCGAATGGGAACGCTGCTGGGGTTTCATTGAGGAGAAAACGGGCCATGCATGTGTGCTAGGGGAGTGGGGAGGGAAGTATGACAGTTATCACAACGACAAGGACATGGTTTGGCAGGACCGTTTTGCCAAGTACCTGGTTGAAAAGTGCATGTCGGATCAGTTCGTGTGGGACCTGAACCCGGAGAGCGGGGACACTGGGGGGGTCCTCAAGGCCAATTGGTGGGACGCGGAGGAGAAGAAACTCGCCCTCTACGATACTGTCCAGCCCCATCCGTCCTGGCTATGGAAGGAGGGAGATACTTTCTATTTGGAACCTGGCGAGTACGCGAACCCGAAGTGCGACCCTTACAACAAGAAGCACTGAGGACGTAGGGTAAAAGGAGGACGGGGGGGGATGTCAATTTGTACGCATATTGAGATGATAGGGCACGTCCTGCCTTGTCTCGACTGTGATTAAGGATACTACGAGCTACTGGAGAAACGGACAGCATTGGGGATGTATGTCTGTGTGTATGGAGAAGCAGGAAAAGATTCAGAAGCATTTTTAGACCCAAAGACTTAAAATGTATCCTTTTCTCTTCTTTGAACTTCAATATTGGCGCTTTGAAAGCGCTTTTTAGGACAGCACGAGCCTGGAATTGGGACTAATTCCACATAAAAGTACATGACCGACGTGAAAGTGACACGTTTGTCTAAAGACAGAGAAGTAAATGCAATGTCACTCTCAGAATAAGGCACATCTTTTTCATGTGTCTACCTTATTTTTTTCACTCCGATATTTTGCAACAGAGTCTAATGTACACAGCAGCAGATTTCAATGTATAGGCTTTTCCATTTCCAGGTTGACTCCTTTCTAGAACTCTCTCATGTAAGAGTTCACCTCCGCCAAAAAATCCTCTCTCTCCGCCTGCGAGGCAGTGTCACAGCTATACATCCCAAGCCATAGCAAAGTACACTGCGCGTCGAACAAAGGTCGGAGTCCCCGCGCGATAATCCGCCGTCCTGGGTCGCCCACGTATCGAATCACTTGGTAGGAGGAGCCATACGTGGTCACGACCCCTACTTTCTTGATGTTTTTCAAGCATGGAACCAGACCCACCACGGAAGCTGGAGGAGACGTAGGTGTGGGGAGGGTGAAGGCACTGTGAGGCAGGAAGGTCCGATCGATCCACCCTTTCAGGATGGCGGGCTAGGCGGGTGCATGGAAAAGGACAAGCAAGAGGAGGAAGCATCCGTAAGGAAAAAGTGACTTGGTGCTGTATGGGCACTGATGTAACAATGTTAAGAACGGTCCCTCAAGTGGAATAAATGACTCGAAAATTCGGCTTGTGGTGCTGTCTTTGTACCGCCACCATTTCTCTTGTACTCCCTCCTTGCAACATCCTTTTTTCTATGGTAATTTTCATGTTGCCTTGCCTCCGACTTACCATGGCATACCACCACGTTGGATATACAAAAATTAAGGCATCACACCACTTAAGGAGGTCGATATATCGGAGGAGAGCCGCTTTATCGGGTGTGCCCTCATCGTGCCGGTCTGAGAGCGGCTTCATATACTCCCTTATGTCACTTGCTTGCATACATGGCTGAAAACCTTCCTCGTAGAGAGATAGAGTCTGTACTTCGTGTCCAGCTTCTTGAAGCGACCGATGAGTTGTTTCAAAGCAGGCGCCATTGAAAGAAGAAGTCCCCATGGGATGCGCGTGGAGGAGAAGGACGCGTCGAGGAGGGTCGGACGGGTGGCGGGGCGGGGGGGGTATGAATGACGTCCATCGATTGGCAGCTGAGGCCAAAAACCGTGACAGAGGGTCCCAGAGGAAAAGAGATAATTCTTTATTACCACGTGGCATCCTGTTGCTGTTGTATGTGCGTTGTAGTATCAGATCAAGTCGTTGGAAAAGGCAACAAAACACAGGCATAAGCATTTTACCGGGGAGGTTCAAGCATCGAGGTGACTCTGAGACATAGACGCCTTTGCGTTCCCGGGCGCATGCCACACATAATAGGTACCAAGAGGAGGCGAAAGTATAAGGGTGCCATATAAGGGTGTCACACTGATGGACAGCGGTGACAACACTTATACTTCTCCTTCATTAGCTCACAGCACTCGTATTTTCCCAGCTTGGACTACTCTTCCTCCAAAAGCAAGTAAACAGCAAGGACAAAGTGGAAGCTGAGGCCTTTGAAGTATATAGATAGTACTCTTGTGGGTTTTCTGGGCACAATAAAGGTCTATCTCTAGAAATGACGCTATAGGGAGATGGATTATTGATTTCAGGGAAAAAAGAGTGGCCGGTACAAAGTTAAGTGACCCTCGAGGTGCTCCTCATCGAGCAAGACAATGTTTTTCCCGAAAGTTAAAGAGCGTTCAGAAAATCGCCCCATCCACTTTTTCTTTCTTCGCAATGACCGTAGAGGTTAATGGCTCTTTTCGAAAAGAACGCAACGTGACCTCATCCGTGTCCCTCCCCCTTTCTTCGCTCCACCCAGCAAAGAGGATTGCTTGCAGACAGCGTTAAGAACCCAATTCCTCGTCAAGTATCGATCGAACTCAGTTGTTGATGGTAATTTCGACTTCGACCCCGGGCTCAATCACGATGTTCGTGATGCTCTTCACAGCATCCGAAGACGTGTGCAGGTCAATAATACGTTTGTGGATGCGCATCTGCATAATGTGGCAAGACAGCACCGGAAAAACTAGGTATAAGAATAACACGCAGGGCGATGCACCTTGCTTGAAAGCCACGAAAGGAGAAGACAACTCCAATTGAAAGCGTAAGCCCCCCGGATGAAAGAGTGTCAGCGCCTCTCGCCCACTTCCACCCCTACGGCCGACCCCTTTAGCGCCGTCCGCCCTGCACGTACCTGGAACCGGTCCCACGTGTTGGTTCCCTCGCCGTTGGGAGATTTGCGGGTCGTGATCTTCAGCTTCTTCGTCGGGAGTCTGTGTGCCGAGAAAATTCGTCAGCTTCCACTCGTTGGATTCCCCCTCGCATTGCACACGTCTTTCACGATTATGATTTCGCGTGATTCCCCTCTCAAGTATGAGAACCGCTGCTTCCTTCTTTCCAACTTCCTTCAGCCTCTTTCTTTCTTCCCTCCTTCCCTCCTGTCCCTCCCCCTCCCTCCCCTCCTACCGAACAGGCCCAGCAACCTTTAAGTGCTTGCTATGATTCACAGCTCGAGTCTTCAATGCCTCGCAAACCTTTTCCAGGTCCTTCACGTTCAGCGAGGTGAGCGTGATGCGGATGCGGTGGATCTGATGACAATGAAGGGAGACAGAGAAAATTCGATGCGATAATCATACGGACATGAGTACCAGCGTGTCACAATCTGCCGTACGCAAATTTTTTGCGTCCCGACACATCCTACCACGCAAATGCATGCACACATAAGAATTCCTCTTGAAGGCAACCTTGCCCACCCATTCTCATCCCGGTTCTGACCTGCTCCTCCTCCTCGGCGAGGACTTTGGGCTTGACAATATCGGCCATGTTTGGAATGTAGGGTGTGAAAATTAAAGTTGCTGGAAGAGGCGCTGTAGAAAGTGGAAGGAAAAGAGGTTGCGTCCATGAGTAAACAAGTCAACGGACGATATTCAGGGCATGGAGCCATGCGCCGCAACCCTAGGAAGCTGACAGAGACCTCATCGACACAGGAAGTAGTTAGAAGTCCGCACAAGAAGCAGAATGCTCCTCTGAGACCGGCGACGATCTGCCTTGAACTAATGCTTTTAATCCTAGGTCGTCTGGACAAACAGCATTCGCTCTCCAACCCCGTACTCCCATACATCATCCCCCTAATTGTTCCCTCCTCGAGCTGGGCTTTGCAAAATGCTCCCTCCCTCCTACGCTTGCTCCATCTACAGAGGAAACTTTGCCTACCTGAAGCGAGAAAGCACCAGCGGTAACCTGCAGATGGTCAGAAAATGGGTGGAGGTAGGGTGGGAGGATTAGACATCAGCACACGGGCTTCTTTACTTATACCAAAGCCCAAACCTCAATCATTCTAATGAGTCCCTCACCTGATCCGGCGGGGCTATAAGTAGCGGTGAAATTCAATTAGAGCGTGTGTGTATCAAAGAGGGTTTAAAAAGAAGGATGAGAAGAAAGAATTATGGTATGGTTCCGAGGGCCTGTGGCAGCCGTTGGTTTTTATTCATCGGGAAAAAACAACATCACGACGGGTGAGCAGCGCCCATATCCATTGCAACTCTCTACCAGGTAATAGAGGCTTTGGCATGCATTGGCACGTTTAGGTGGCCTTGATCGCATGTCCCATGTGCAATTATGCGTGGCCCTGGCGGAAACGAGGAAGAGTGGAGGAGGAAGACAGGTGGGTCCACACAGACTGTGGTCGAGGGAGGGAGGGCGGGAGGGAGGGAGGGCGGGAGGGAGGGAGGGCGGGAGGTAGCGGCAAAACGAGTTCCTCAATGTCGTGTTCAGACGAGACGGAATCGAAGGTGTCGCGTCCCCTTCAATCAGCCGTCTTCCTCTTCCTGTGGTACCTGTGTTCGTATGCTTGTATAATTCTTTTCGGCATTGAAACTCATCTTACCTTGCTTGCAGATCACAACCGTGCGCTTGCCTCGTTGATGCTCTGTACGTGCCAACACGGACCCCTGTCCACTTTACCAACTACTTTTTATGTTACGCCGTTCCACTCGTTCTAGTCTTCTGCGTAACGACTCGCATTCTTCCATTCTCTCGCTTTGTGTACTCTTGCGCGCAAGCGGAATTTTCATTAAACGCGCCAGACCTTCGTCCCAGCTTTTCCTACCTTACCTCCTCCTCCATTATCCTTCTAGCAAGCTTACAGTATCTCGTCTCGTCGAGATCGACCAAGGGGCACAAGGCACAATCCCAGCCATTATACACTCATGTACTCACAGCAACCTCGGCAACGCTATTCTCGCGGAGCCAGCAACATCAGGCATCACGTTGGTAGCGGTCGTAGGGTCAACAGTGGTGACATGAGCGACGCACGCAATGGAGGGCAAAACGTCAGAGAAGGTGCCATCACCCAGCATCGAAGCTACAATGGACATCCGGGGCTCGACCAGGTAAGCTTTTGAACATCATATAGCAGCGTCTCGATGACAAAAACTCCCTTCGGTTAAATTTGAAATCCTATCTAATATAATCGTTGCATCTTTTTTTCTTCACCTTTTCGCTTCTTCCGGATACCCTTGCTGAGCAGGCGCCTCTTCCCGGACCAGGACCTTCCCCTAATACGCCTGCAGGATACGACTACCATTTCCCTTCTTTTCCTTCGGTCCACACACAGGCAGGACCTCGCAAACCTTCTCACGGAGCACCACCGAGCTCAGGTTCTCCGTCCCCTTCCCCCTTGCCCTCTGCGCCCTCCTCCCGATCTTCCTCCTCCACTTCTTCCTTCATATCCAACACTTCCTCGTCCTCAGTACCCACGGAAGAGCACCCTTCACAGTCGCAGCACCAGAAACCAGGCCACCGCGGAACGCGAGGCTATCGTCCTTCTACCTCCTCCCACCCCTCTCATGCCTCCTCCCCCAGCCCGGCTTGGGGGTCGTCTTGGAAAGACACTGCCGCAAAAGACCAAAACGGGGAAGCAGGGGGCGTTTATTCGTACTCCTCTGCCGGGCGCAGGGCCTCCTTTTCCCTGCCCACGGCGCCGCACCCGTACCCCCCGCTGTCGACGGAGGGAGGGAGGGAGGAAGGCGGGCAGCTCTCGGACGTGCCGTTGGAACAAGAAGGAGGCACGCTCTCGTACATGTGGGAGCATATGTCCTTAGATGAAAGCGGTCAGCCAGGTGGGTGGGATTGGGAAGACGTGGAAGGGTGGATCGGGCGCATGGGCAAAGGGGCGGACGAAGGGAGAGAGAGCCGAGACGCTCCTCGTGCATGGTCCCTTCATTGGCAAGACCTTATGATCTTCCATAAAAACCCCGTTCATTTCGTTTTATTTCTTCGTCCGTCTTGATCCCGTCGCCCTCCTTGGTCCCCCCTTCCCTCTCCTCGTCTCGTGCTCTCCCCCTTGCGCCTTACCCCCACGCGTTCCCCACCTTTCCCCCCCCCTCTCCTCCCCGGCCCAGGCCCTTCCCCCTACACAGGGTACGAGCATGGCATCTACCCTCCCACCTTCCCTCCCTCCCTCCCTCCCGCGGGTCCGCCCCCCCCTGCTAGCTACTTGTACTACTACGACTCGCCCTCGCCAGGGGCGTACGGGGGGATGCCAATGGTAAGAACGAGACAGAGAGGAAAGAGCCAGGGCGGCGCGTTGGCGCCATTGTGACGCAGAATGTGGCCCTTGGCGTCTCTGGGACTCTCGCCTCCCCACTGTTGGCGCTTTCTGCTATTCATGGTGGACGTGCGTCGCGACACTACCTTCCTGTCCCTGTTCCATCTGCCTTGCTCTTCCACCTATAACCTTAACCCTATCCCCCCGAATTACACATTTATTCCTGATTCGCCCTATTCACCTCATATCTACCCTCAAATTTTATACTATCTACTTTATCCCAGATGTACGGTCTTGACACCTTCTCCCCGTATCAGGACGGCTACTACTACCTCCCTCCCTCCCTCCTTCCCTCCCTCCCGCCCTCGACGCTCTCTCCTTCCTACCCTCCCTCCAGCTTTCCCGCCTACACCCCTGCCGCTGCCTCTTCGCTACCTGCCTCTCCTTCGCCAGCCGGTGACCGTGGCTATAAAGGTGCGTGGGGAGAGGACGCCTGAGAGCAAATTACAAGGTTTTGGGTTGTGGGGCCAAAGGAATGGCTATCATGGGGAAAGGAGCAGCTTGGGAGAAAAGGGGTGGGAATGCAGGTTCCGGGCTTTTGTGTTGCTGTAAGTGGCGTTGATTTTCCGAACTGGCACCATCCTTCC